ATATATATATACATATATATATATATATATATATGAAAAGAAATCAGCAACAGAGCGAAGAGACAAGCAAAAGAGTGGGAAAAAATTTTTGCCCAGCTGTTCCTTAGCCAAAAGAGTGATATCTAGAATATAAAAGAATTGAAAAAACAACTCTCTCAATTTTAATGACCCAATCCAAAAATGGGCCTCTGAGATGTATACACACTTCTCAGTTAAAGAACTACAGGCAGCAAATAAACATATGAAAAAATGTTCCATGTCACTGGTCATTCAAAAGAGTTAATTTAAAACAAGGCTGAGATTTCATCTCACCAGAGAAGAATGGTTATTATCAAAAATCAACCAAGAGGTGAAGGGAAAAGGGAAGAAGGGAAAGGAAAAATTATGAGAGAAAAAAAATGGAATCAAAGTCTGTGTAAATAGGGAAGAGTGGAGGGGGTGAAGAGCACACAGGTAATGGGAGAAAAGATTACAACTTAGATATATCATGTTCAGGTACAAACACCCAATGATAAATGTAAATGTACTGTATACCTAAAATGTACCAAGAAATATAACAGTAAAAAAAAATTTTCACTTAACCAGCAGAAAATAAAAACAACTGATGGAGGGGCTGTGGGGAAAAAGAATGCTTCTTTACTGTTGGTGGGAGTGTAGACTGATGCAGCCACTGTGGAAATCAGTGTGGAGAATCCTCAGGAAACTAGAACTACAGGTTCCATTTGACCTAGCTGTTCCCCTTTTGGGTATCTTCCCAAAAGAATCAAAAGCATCATAACAGCGATACATGCACATCCATGTTTATAGCAGCACAATTTGCAATACTCCTATTTTGGAAACAGCTCAAACGTCCATCAAACGATGAAGTAATAAAGAAGATGTGTTTGATTTTAAAAAATAAAATGGAGTACTACTTAGCCATAAAGAGGATAAACTTGAGACATTTATAGTTAAGTGGATGCACCTAGAATCCATACCCTTAAGTGTGATAAATCGGACACATGTGCAAATATCCCATTGCTTCTCTGGTGTGAGAAACTGAAAGTTTAAATAAGGTCTAAAATGTATAATAGATATTGTGAAATACAAAGAAAATGTTCAAATGGGAAGAGGCACAGGTGAGGAGAGAGGGAGTCGGAGGAAAGGGAAAAGAAAAGACGAGACAAGAAAGATAAAATGGAAATAAAGCGTTGGTAAATTGGTGAGGAAGGGAGAAAGGGAGGAGAGGGGAATGAGAAAAAAAGAAGAATTGAGATGTATCATGTACAGGTTCAAATTCCATATGATGAATGTGATCATTATGTATATCAGAACTGCACCAATGAACTTAATTAATGATAAAAAAGAAAAAAGAAAATGTTGTCTGCTCCTGAGGAAGAAAAATATCATTTATTAATTCAAGAAGATGTTGCTTCTCTTACACCTTAATCAAATGAGAAATTTTGCAGAGTTTTGGACATTTTTTCCACTCTCATGAATGTAGGGAAAAAGGATAGTGCCAATGATGTTCTTCTGATTTGGGAAGGAGGAAAGTTTTGTCAGCCCTTGACTTCTATGAAAACAAGCAGGTCAATAATAGCATTATTTTCAGGGAAGCTGATGATCAACCTTGATCTACAAGAAACATTTCTGAAGGCCAAGCATTTCCTACGATTTCTACATAAAAAATAACTGTTTCAAGCATAGATGAATTTAACAGAAATATAACCAACATTGTAAATATTGTAAATATTCATACATCTTCATTTGAGAAAAGAGATATGGTATTTACTTTCCATCAGACATTGAAGAAATGGGGCTGGAAATGTATGGAGTGAATTTGGGATAAATTTTATAAGAAGTTGAAGAGAAAACAAATATTGAATGTTTACTTGATGATATTGTGAGACTCTTACATGAGTAGAATGCTGACACCAGAGTATTGGGGCAGGAGGTTTATAGGAGCTACTCCATGGCCCAGGTCCAGTGGTGATGAGGAGACATACATTCCTTCATGTTCAGAGTGAATATATTACAGTATTTTTGGTGTTCTCAAATAGCATGGGAATTGAAATAGAAAAAGACTTTTTTGTTATCAGAGTTAACTTCCAGTATTGTTTATTATGAATGCTGAATCATATTTTCCCCAAGGTCAATTGAGAAGGTAAGGGATTTTGTGAACCAACAAGTTGGTAATAACTGTCTTTTATTATTACCCTTACTCCTCCAAGGGTGAACTCTCTTATGCCTGCTTCAGCGAGTGGTTCTTCCCCAAGAGAGTCAAGTACAGTGAAACAATTTTATCTGTTTGTCTGTAATTTGGACCTCGTGTTTGAGGATTTTCCCCAGGGTCCTTCACATGATTTTTTTAAACTTAGAATTCACACCAATTTCTTAGGAGCTGGGAACAAATATGTATTTAAATACCTATTGGTTTTGTTCTGAACTGATAACTCTTGTGCCCTTTACAGTAGAACTTTGAGCTCTTTGGAGGCTCCACCTGCTATCATTGTATTTTGAGTCTTCTAGAGAGAGATGGAAGAATCTGCCCATGCCTTGTAGCTGAAGGTATCTGTGCTGATCATTTAAGCAGCCATGTCAGGAGCAGGAGTAGGATTTGCATTAAGGATTGTGATTGTATGTACTTTTTGGAGTTTGAATGTAGCACGTCCAATGTGCGCTACAGAACACTGTACCTTCCACCATACTATGGCAATCAACTCCATTAGACTAATTTTTAAAAATAGAGTATCTTATTTTGAGATTATAGGGCAAACCAAATTTCTATGAAAAACAATTTCTTTTAATCTGGTTTGACAGATCATTCCTGACAGGTAAATATCACATATATCTTTGCTTTTCTTAAACCCATCAGTAGGGCTTCTACATTTTTTTATATCACTGCTCCCACAAAGTATAGTGGAATTATTTATTACTTTGTGCATCACATGGGCGTGTCTAAAACTAGATATCATGAAAGAGAAAGATGATAGTATTAGTGATGTACAGGACATGTCAGAAATATGACAAAAATACACTGATTAAAATCTTTGGAATAACATCTATGTAAGGAATCATAAACACAGGATGGTGTGATATGTTTTTGACAGACAAAGAAACTTCTTCAGCAAATTGAAGATGTGACTACAAGAGTCAAGAATTTCTTGGTGTTGTAAAAACTTTAACAAGGTAATTTAGTTCAGTTTGAGGAATACCCAGTGTGCTAAAGGAGAAGACACATTTTATTCACAATTCATGAATAGTCTCTTAGAAAAATGGGAGTCAAAAGAAAATGTTGAGTGGAAAAAAATTTTCTTTTATGAAGTAGAATTGGAGTGATCTCATAACCATTGTGATGTTTTCATGGCTTGGTTAAAAGATATTTATTTGTTTTCTAGGCAGACGCCATCTTTTGCCAGCACTAGCTCATTAGGTGTTCAGTTTGAGTTAAAATGCATATACTGATTATTTCCACCCCAGGCTCTTCTTATGGGAGAGTCACAAAAACTTCTCACTGTTTCACATTTTCACCTTCCTTTTCATGTCCAGAATAAAAGAGGAGAGGAAGAAGAATATGAACAAGCATAATCACAGCATAGTGTCTGAATTCATCCTCTTAGGACTGCCCATCCGGCTGGAAGAGCAAGGCATGTACTATGCCCTGTTCCTGGTCCTGTACCTGACCACAGTGCTGGGGAACCTGCTCATCATCCTGCTCATCAGGCTGGACTCCCACCTCCACACCCCCATGTACTTCTTCCTCAGCCACTTGGCTCTCACTGACATCTCTTTCTCATCAGTCACAGCTCCAAAGATGCTCATGAATATGCTGACTCATAGCCAATCCATCTCTTATGCTGCTTGCATTTCCCAGTCATATTTTTTCGCATTGTTTGCAGATATCGACAACTTTCTTCTTACCTCAATGGCCTATGACAGGTACGTGGCCATCTGTCACCCCCTACATTATACCACCATCATGAGCCAGAGACTCTGCTTCCTACTAGTAATCATATCCTGGGTGTTATCCTTTGCCAATGCCCTTTTGCACACCATCCTCTTATCCTCTCTCTCTTTTGCTAGAGGCAACATTCTCCACCACTATTTCTGTGATCTCTCTGTCTTGCTCAAGGTGTCCAGTTCAGACACCACCATCAATCAGATGGTCATCCTTATGGCGGGATCCGTGGTCATAACCCTGCCATTCATTTGCATTCTGGTGTCTTATGGGCACATTGGGGCCACTATTCTTAGAGCTTCCTCATTCAAGGGAATCTGCAAAGCTTTGTCCACATGTGGCTCTCACCTCTGTGTGGTTTCTCTGTACTATGGAGGAATTATTGGGATCTACTTTTTGCCTTCTTACAGTGACACTAATGACAAGGATATTATTATAACTGTGTTGTATAATGTGGTCACACCCATGGTCAATCCCTTTATCTACAGTCTGAGGAATCGGGATATGAAAAGAGCTCTTAAAAATCTACTCAGCAGAGGAATATCTTCAGCATGATCAGCATTTTCTATTAATCAATTTGAGACCACTTCAATCACATGCATATGTCCTTTCCTGATGCATTCGTGTTTCCTAGTGAGTCTTGATGTGGCACAATATTTTCTTTCTCAAATATAGCTTTTGTCTCTGCTTAATTGTCTTTTTGACCTTGTCTTGTGGAAATATTTTTGTAGATATACCTGTACATTTTCCTTTTACACAGTGTCTTTGTCTACAAATATGTTAAAATTCTCTAGCTATCACTTAGACTTTTTCATTGAATATTTTTCCATCATCATTTTAGCAAATCTGTTTTTTCCATTCTCAATACAATAAAGAATTCTATGCCAGCTTCATGATTTTTTTTAAATTTTGTAGTGTACTTCAAATTTATTTTTGTTAGTAACTTTAATTGGAAATGTGGTCTTTCTTTTTAAATTTTCCTTTTCTGCTACTACTAATTACCATGTCAAACTGGTACACATTTATTGGTTTCCATGTGATGTTTCCATACATATATACAGTGCATAATATTCAGGAAGGCACATTTTCTCAGACATTTAGTGCTTATTTGTGTGAAAAAATCAGAAATATTTTTTAGCCTTTTAGAAATATATAGTATTTTGTCATTGTGTGCAATCAATAAAGGACCAGAATTTATTTTGCCTAACTGGGACTTAGTACCCATTGACCAACCTTTCCCCTTCCCTTTTTCTCTTCCCGTCCCCAGTAGTTTTAAATTTTCTATATATTTTTTGAAAACATTTCTATTGTGTTCATAGGATACAGGCTAGGCACACAATTATTTTTATGCTCTTGAAGTGACCCAAACTGTTTCACAAACTGTAATGAGATGTCTTCCTGGAAAAAGCAGGTCCACAGGTCAGATGCACATCCTAAATTGTGAACAGGAAATTGATTAGAGCCCTCTAGGTCCTAGAGTTGAAGTAAGTATGAGGCATAACAGTGAGTGCGGAGATTTTTAGTGACCATCCACGTGGTGCAAAGATTATAGGTGATTAGTCCGTTCTGTGGGAGTGGGCTGAATAATGGCCCGGACACAAGATGTCCAGGCAACCTGAACTGAGTTCTAGCCAAATTTAAGTAGAACTAATGCAACTGTATTTATTTTGAAATGAAAAGAGGATACTTTCCTGACCCACTACATAAATGTGGTTTCCCATGTTTCTATGTGGAATAGTACGGTGTTTTTCTTTAGTGTTTGAGAAATTGCTTGTGTTCAAGGAAAGAAATTTAACTTTATTGCTCTGAGTTGATTACTGAAACTGCTGATTTCTGTAACATTGCAATTTCTTTAAGTGTTGCATTTGTTATACAGAAGGAAATTCATATTTAAGAGAGCTTTAGAAACTAGCCAAATGGTATGAAGCTAGTAATATTTAGTGGAAGTGAAATTCAATATTAATGTAGGTGCTGTAAAGGTCCTAATGCCACTTTAACGTTTTAAAATTTAGCAGTATTTTTACTCATTTTATTGGAAATTCACATTTAATGTGAAAATTAAAACATTGAAAAAATACAAAAAAATGATTTTTATAACATATAAATTAAATATATATGTATATAGATATTGTGGTGTAGCTTTAAATGTGTATGTGCTCATATATAAGAAATGAGATTAAAAAAAGGAAATGAGATCTGATGTAAAGTATAATATTAAAAGAAATACTCATTAAAATTCTCTAGTTCTAAATAATAACAATATACTTGGGGTCATGAGGTTTTATTTTGGTACCGGGGATTGAATTTGGGACCTTGGGCTTGTGAGGCAGGTGGCAGCACCACTGAGCTGAATCCCTGGCCTCATGATATTTTTAATATTCCTGCACTTTTTATTTGATTTTTAAACACTTCTACATTGATTCTTCTATCTTTTCTCCAGAACCATAGATAATTGAATGAAGACTATTTTTATTTTGGTACATTTTGTTCTTGGTGTCTTCTACCTATCTTGTGAAATCCATCTATATTTTTAATTCTCCTGAGAGACTATATCACATTTATGTGCTGTGTTTTCAACCACCATTTTCCTTTTCTTCTCTCTTTCTTCCTCTCTCCCTCTCTTCCTTTCTTTCCTTCTTTCTTTTTCTGTTCTCTCTCTCCCACTTTCTTCATCTTTCTTTTCCTTTCAGCATTTTGCCATAATGAGCAAAGCTGCTACAAACATTCTACTACACACAAATACATGCATTGTGTAAATGAGATTTTTCAAACTGTATAACCAGAGGAAACTTTCCTTCAACATGATTATACTAAGATACCATCCTGAAAGGTGTACATACAATATGATTCCATTTATATCACATCATAGAACAGTGTAAAATGATAGCAATAATGAGATCAGTGGTTCTTAAGCGTTTGGTGTAGGTGAGGGGAAAGGAAGAATAGGTAGAGCAAAGAGGATATTTAGAGCAGAAAATTATGCTGTATGATGCTGTAACAATGGATGTCTGACATCATGTATTTGTGAAAATCACTCAAGCAGAAGAACAATAAAATGTGTATATAGCACAAAGAGTTGCTTCTAATGAAAACCATGATCTGTAGTTTATGAAAATATACCAATATTGGCTCAACTCTATCAAATTCACTCCACCAATCTAAGATGTTCTTAGCAGAAATGGTGGGAAGTTGAAGGCCTATATGCACACTTCTTGTCTAAATTCTCAATGAATATAAGGCTGCTCTAAAAACAGTAGTTAATTAAAAGAAAACTATACTAATTTAAACTTCTTGTTCATGCATATGAGTGTTCCCATTATTTTACTTAAATAAAACTTGGTAACAAAACAGAATTTTAATATTTTCCAGTTGTAGTGTATGGCAAGTTATATCTCATTGTGTTTTTATTTCCTATTTTTTCAATCATTAATGAAGTAAAATATTTTGAGTATCATTCTTGGCTATTTGTGACAGATAACTACCTATCACCTCTTCAGAGAGGAAATCACCTCTGTGTATGGAATTGTGTAACTATGGATTAACTATGTAACTAGGCTCTTTGTGAAATAGACCTGAGTGACCATGACTACTGTAATCCATCACCAAGGAGAATAATGGACTCAGAAAGTCCTGTGAGAGAGCTCTTTGGCTTGCTACCTTCGTTCTCTTTGTGTAAATCCTGGTTGCTATATTCCCAGGAAAATTCCAATGAAATTAAGCCTTGTAAATGTAAAAGATGGTATATAAAGAAGAACAAACTTTTATTTGGGGCTCTTGAGATGGAGAGGAGTCACTTGCAGAGCCAATGGCATTAAAGCTGAGTTGCTCCTTCTTTGTGTGTCAGAGTGGTTTCTACAGGAATCTCATCCAGTTCCTTCTGAATCTCAAATTTCAGAATTCATGGAATTTACTTTTGGAGACATCTGCTACATTATCTAACATCTAGGTTACCTAGGTTACATACTCTCCTCAGTGGAGGGGGATGTATATTATTTCCTAGATGGGATTTTTTCCTTCCAAAAAGTCTATTAGTACATACGTCAGACAGAATAATGGGTTTCATTTTGGCACATGTACAGGTATATAGTATGCTTTGTTTTTATCCACTCCCTTCTGCTAATACCCATCCTCTGGTAATAGGCTTTCTACTTTGCTATTATCTCTCTCTTTTTATCTTCTCCTATTTTTGAGGTTATACTTAGGAATGAAAAAATGATATTTGACTTTCTGATCATGGATGATTTTGCTTAATGCCATTTAATTTTTATTCCTGGCAGAGGAATATTCCATTGCATATATATACCACATTTCTTCATTCATGTGTTGGTGGTCACCTAGACTGTTTCCATAGTTTTGCTACTGTGAACTCTGCTGCTATAAACTTGGATGTTCAAGTACCTTTGTGATATGCTGACATTAATTCTTTTGGGGAAGAGCAATATAGCTGGATCAAAATTTTTAAATTGAATAGCTGCATGTACTTCACACAGTTATTAAAAATATAGACTATCTCACCAGTCAACACCTGGCACTATGGCTTAGAGAACCCAGGAGAACCCCCCATTGCCCTGGCTTCTTCATACAGAGTTTTATATCCACAGACAGCTGTGCAGCAGGGCTGATATTTAGATCAGCACTACAGAGGTGCCCAGGACCATGAAGGTAAGGATTATTACCCCCAGAACATAGAACAGAGGTGAAAAAAAGAGATAGGGCATCTCTAAGGATTCTTGATGAAAACTGAAGCCCACTGGGAAAGTAAAGTAAATCTCTGCATTAAAAGACCTCTGGACCACCGTGGTTGGTAAGTTGTTGGCATCAGCACCTCCCCTTGGAACCCAAACTCACTTTAAGGGCATTGAAGCTGAAACCTGCAGTAGTACCTTGCAGAGCTCAATCCTGCAGGAGGTCAGGGAACTCAACTTGGGCCTTGGAGCCAGAGATCAGCCTGAATCTCAGTGGGCTACAACTGGCTTGCTGACACTAATCATCTTAGATGTGCACACTCCTGCTCATGTTGTCTATTTCAACAACAGAGACATACACTGAAGGGGGCCCTTTTTTCCTTTTCTTCTTTTCCTCTCCCTTCTGGTTCTGCATTTCTCTCCCCTTTTGTTCTTGTTCCTGTTATATTTTGGATCTTTTTCTCTTTCTTTCCTTTTCTCTTTTCTTTTCTTTCTTTCTTTTTTTTTTTGGTACCAGGGATCGAACTTGGAACCTTGCACTTGTGAGGCAGGTGCCAGAACCACTGAGCTAAATCCCTAGCCCTTCTTTCCTTTTCTCAATTGTCATTTTTATAGGAAGGTGATATATACAGCTTCTATCTGCCCTATAGCTATTCATTTTTTCTGTTCTTGTCTTTGTTCCTTCACTCTTTTTCTCATCTTCAACAGTTTCCCAAACTTTATGTGATCTTCCTATGTCCTCTAACCTCATTTCTAATATTTCCCTCTCCTTTTATCTCTTTATCCCTCCATTACCCACTCTTTTAATGTACTCATCATGAAGGATACGTTTGCTATATTGAAGGGTTTATTTACTAGAAACATATTATG